TCAAAGGCGAGAAGATCGCTGGATTGAATCCCGACTGGTGTGAGGTCTTTCTGGGTGGAGTTTGCATGTTCTCTCCGTGCATACGTGGGTTTTCTCCGGGTACTCCAGTTTCCTCCCACAGACCAAAAACATGCACGTTAGACTGACTGGTAACTCTAAATTGTCCCTAGGTGTGAGAGAGAGAGTGAATGGTTGTTTGTCTCATTTGTCTCTATGTGTCCCTGAGATGGACTGGAGACCTGTCCAGGGTGTCTTCCACCTCTCGCACAGTGATGGCTGGATATTGCACCAGTGACCTCTGTGACCCCCCAAAAAAAAGAAGCGGGTAAAGATAATGGGTGGATGGTGAAGGAGTGGAATTAAATAAGTACATACTTCTTCCCACTCCTTTTCAACATGTGACCTAGACAAAAAGTGGAGCAATTTTTGTGCACTTTTTAATTTTATGTAGGTTTTTGTGTATCTTTTTGTTTCTTTGCTTAAAATGGTTGTCTGTACATATTTAACATTCAAAATAAACCCAAAATCTAATCTTCACTTTGTTAGAGTCTCCCATTCTGAGCGCTGGCAACAGTGGACAGGAACAGCTTGGACCTCCAGCAGAACCAGGCTCTGGACGGGCGGTTCACTTGGTGTCAGTCAACAGGGGGAGTTGTAAGGCTAGTTTTCATGCATCAGTTTTGCTTCAGAGTAGTTACTGTAGGTAGTACTTTGTCCATGGAGATATTGTGGTTAAATAATCCAGACAGAATTCATGTATTTGATTCAAACTAAAGTTCAACATGACTCGTCTCTTTCATATTTAAGAGTCGTTAAACTTTTTAAGAGAGAGAATCCACACAAAGCATGAAGAGCTGGCTGTCTCTAGATGCACCCTAAAGTTTAGTGCTGTGAAACGTCAGTATTCACTGACATGTTTGTCATTTTGTAAGACATGTTCCTGCTTCAAGGCCTTCATACGCTGGTCCCTAAAACAGAATCACATTCACAGGCCACACTGACACACACAGAGCCATATGGTCCTGACCTCTGTGGTCATGAAGACTTTTAAGTGCCTGGTGCTGTCTTATCTCAAATCCAATAGCGTCCTCCTGGACCCTGTGTAGTTTCCCTTCAGCGCTAACACATTAGAACATGACTGTGTACTTCACCCGTCACGGTCTGGATTTTAAGTAGCCTGTGAACCCATGCAAGCTTACTTTATCTAGGATTTATCTGTAGTCGTCCAAGCCCTATTGCAAGACAAGCTCAGCTTGTCCAGCTGAATGTCTCAGGTCCTACAGGTGTGCTTCTCTATGACAGGAGGCAGAGTGAGGCTGGACAGGTATGTCTCTTGGCTCTGACTATCTGAACTGATTCCAACCCTCACTCTTCTCTCTGTGCATCAACAGTTGCACCTCTGCACACCAAACTCATTGAGTTTGCAGATGACCCAACCCTGTCAGCTCATGTCAAGTGGAGATGAGACTGTAAAGAAAAAGAGACGACATAAAACTTCAGGAGGAATGCTGCCCCTTAGGCCCCCATCATCCTGGTTCCCCTGTGGAGACTCTGGAATCTGTCCACCTCCTGGGAACGATCATTTCCCACGACCTAAACTGCTCACTTCTAAAAAGGTGATTGTACTGCGACAGCTGAAGAATCTCAACCTGCCAAAACTGTAATAGTGCACTTCATTCATCCTTGGACCCATCACCACCTAATCACAATTACTGCCATTTCCAAAGACAAACAAGAGACTGCAGTGGGTCAACAGTTGTTGAGAAACTAATTAGCTCCACCTCTGGTGGGCCACAAAGATTGCTGGTGACCCCTCCCACCCTAGTAATAATCTTTCAAAGCTTCTCCTATCTGACCAGAAGCTATAATCTGTCAAAACCAGCACCTCATTTACCATACCATACCAGCTTTATTTATAGAGCACTTTAAACACCCACAGGACCAAAGTGCTGTACACACAACAAAACAATCAGATAATAAAAATGGTTAAAATGATTAAAAGTCAACATCTCAGATGGTGTCAAAGGCCACGGAGAAGAGATGGGTTTTAAGAAGGGATTTAAAATCAGACAGGGAAGAGTCTGTTCAAGGAAGGTCGTTCCACAGTTTAGGAGCTGCCACAGCAAAAGCACGGTCTCCTCTTACGCTTTGTAAAAACCATATCATGTTGCTGCTGATCTGTTTCATGTTGCTGTTGATCTGTTTCAATGTTGATGTGTTTATGCGTGCACATCTGCTCACAGACTCATGTTCATGTTTGTGCTGATGTTCAATGTTTTATGTTATGAGTGCTTAGTGTATATTTAGTTGATGTTTTTCTTAGTTCATATCTTAGATGTTATTACTGTTTTTCTTAGACATTTTATTGTTGGATGTAACTGGGACCCCATGTACATAATTTCGCTCCACCACATGTACCACATGAGGTGCAAATGACAATAAAGAAACTCTGACTCTTTGTCTTTGGCACATTCAGGAGCAGCTGATCGCATGACTTGAGGGATCGAGAGGGTGTGTATAGATGCAGCAACTCGGACAGATAGGGCGGGGCAAGTCCGTTAAGAGATTTAAAAGCAAATAAAAGAATTTTAAAAGGAATTCTGGAATGTATGGGCAGCCAGTGCAGGGAGGCTAAAACAGGAGAAATGTGTTCAAACATTTGTGTGCCAGTTAAAAGCCGTGCAGCAGCGTTCTGTACCCTCTGAAGCTGACAGATACATGAATCACTGATTCCTGTACAGAGTGCATTACAGTAGTCCAGCCGAGTGGTCACAAAGGTATGAACTACTGTTTCAAAATGCTGCTTAGAAAGAATCGGCTTCACTTTAGCTGCCTGAGATGGAAAAAACTAGTTTTAACAACTGCTCTGACGTGGTTTTCTAATTTTAGTCCAGCATCGACTTTGACCCCCAGGTTTGTAATAACTGGCTTGATATACTGGGCCAATGAACCAACATTGACATTGGGAGTCTCAGTGGAGCTTCCAAAGACCATCACCTCAGACTTTTCCTCATTAAACTTTAAGAAGTTCACAGCCATCCAGGCTTTGATGTCCTCCAGACATGAAAACAGAGGGGCCAGAGAGTTAGAGTCCTTTTTTTTAGTGGGACGTATATCTGCGTATCATCTGCATAACAATGAAAGGAGATCCCATATTTTCTAAAAACAGAGCCAAGAGGGAACAGGTATAGCATGAAGAGGAGGGGGCCTAAGACTGAGCCATATATCATATCACAAAATGCTTCTCTAGTTGTGGCAGTTCATTAGCAAAAGTCACTAACAATGTACTGTTGGTGTCTTTAACTTCTAAGAACATTGTACCAACTGTTAAGCATGATGGTGGTAGTATTATGGTATATTATGGTATGAAAAATAATAAAGGATGACTACAGCCAAATGTTTAAACTTGTTGAAACTTGGAAATGTTTGGGTGTGATAAGATGATCCCAAATACATGTCCAATTTCAATAAACCGCCAATTCAACAAGAAGGATGCTCATCATTCAGCTAGAAATGTGCCAGAAGCTGGTTGAAGGTGGAAAACTGGGCAACATGGTAAGAGATGGTAAATAGTGACCAAATAAAAAAAACAAATGTAGGACTAAACGGATGCTTGTGGACACTTAATTTTGGGTTTTCATTATCGGCGAGCCATAATCATCACAATTACAAGAAACAAAGCCTGAAGTATTTCACTGCGTAATGAATCTGTCATTTATGAGTTTCTGAAATGACTGACAATTTTTATAAAACTTTTTCATAATATTCTAATTAATTGAGAAGCACCAGTATTAGTGGGGATGAACAGTAAATATTTGAGTCTGTATCTTGCAGTATTTTGACCCTGTGTGGATGAGAGAAAATACACAAATTCAAACTTGAGCATCAAATTCTTGGTCTGTAGTCCATTCACCAGGTGCTCCAGAATTATTCCACCTTGTAAAAAAGATTCAAATAAGTGATATTTCGACTCATCACGAGCATAACGAACAATAATTTACGACTTCTGCGACTGACTGCAACTTTACTTTAGTGTTTTTGTGTTTTACAACACGTAAACATTTCTACACAAAGAGCAAATTTATTTGGCAATAATCCTGAATCTGGGTGGAGTTTGCATGTTCTCTCCATGCTGCGTGGGTTTTCTCCAGTTTCCTCCCACAGACCAGAAACATGCACGTTAGGCCGTAACTCTAAATTGTCCCTAGGTGTGAGTGAATGTTTGTCTCGGTATGTCCTTGTGATGGACTGGAGACCTGTCCAGGGTGTCCCCCGCCTCTCACACAGTGACTGCTGGATATGGACACCAGTGACCCAAAAAGGAAGAAGCAGGTAAAGATAATGGATGGAATAATCCTGAATCTGAGCTTCTATCACATTGGGCGGCTGTGGCTGAGTGGTTAGAGCAGTTGTCCTCCAATGCGAGAGTTGGGGGTTCAATTCCAACAGCCATATGCCGAAGTGTCCCTGGGCAAGACACTGAACCCCTCATTGCCTCCGATGTATGTCCCATCGGTGTATGAATGTGATAAGACACTTTATACAGTCCATTAATATCAATTCTACTGAAACATTTTCAACGTTCCAAGTATTAAATTCAAAACAGTAAAATTCAGGGATTTTTAATCCAGCTGAGCCTTTAATTTCAACACAAACCTGATTGTTTTTAGTTCTTTATTTAGAACTATCAGTGAAAACTTTTTTTACAAAACACATTTTCTAAAATTATATTCTGTTAGTTATATGGGTAAACATAAAATAATTAAATAGGAGTTAGTTCCAGTGAAGCGAAGTGTGAAGGCTCTGAGCATCTGATACCACAGCCTGGAAGAAATGGCTAAATGAAATGCCAGTAAAATACGCCTTTGACTTTACTGAAACACCATTTTAATGAACCAAAACAACTTTTCAAAAGAGTGAAATATATTTTAAACTGCCACAAAATTATCAATCAAAAAACAACAAGAAATGATAAAAAAAATACAGAACTATATCGCCATGTAAAGTACTTTCTGTCACACTGGCATGAAATGAGATGTAAATTATTAGAGGAAACAAACGTTTGTGATAAGCCCTTAAATCGTGACATTTATTACTAACATCAGGAAGAACATATTAGTTTATGGTGTGCTTGTGTGATAACAGTAATTATGATGATCAGTACTAATGTTTAAACGTGATTTGGCAGCACAGTACAAATATATTACATATATATGTAGTTAAAAAAAAGGTAGATGCACAGTGCTCTTCAAAAATAAACGGTACAACTTCATTAACGCGGTTTGGTAAAACATCGATCGTTACAAAATATATGATCCAAAATGTCATGTAAAATTTTAAAAATATATCAAAAATAATTTTCAGATGACGGCTCAAATATCAGTTTTCACTTAAGGTTGCATATTTTGACAGATGTTCCAACTCCAAACCCTGGATAGAGAGGCTCTGCGAAGGCCGTGTGGAACCTGTGCAGGAGGGTCATGGTGTTGCCTATGCTGTAAAAGGCCAGCACACCAGCTGTGTGGTCCAGGTACACGCCTATCCTGGAGGAGTGGGGGCCGCTGACGGCTTTGTCCACCCGATTGTGCCAAGCGGAGTAACCCGTGTCGGAGCAGAGGAGGCTCCAGGACTTGTCGTTGTAGCCCAGCAGACACAGCGAGCCTTTGCCCTTCCGGCTGATGCCCCTGTAGGCCACACCGATGGAGAACTCCCCGCTCCACTCGATCTCCCAGTAGAAGCGGCCCCCGGACAGCGCCTCTCGGCACAGCACCTGGGCGAAGCTGTCGAACCTCTCTGGGTTGTCCCCGTAGGGCTGCAGGTTTCTGGTGCGGATGACTTTTCTGTTGTTGTCAGAGATGCACAACTCTTTGTAGGCTGTGCTGGAGTCCAGCTTCAGCTGGCAGAAGTCTGAGAGATGAGAATTAGATTTAGATTTTTACAGCGTCCTGATTTAGGTTACATCTAAATTACAGCTGTGATAGAAGAGGCAGTCAAATCAGAGAGCACAAGTATCAGAACAGAAAATCATCAGTGAAATGCATCTACAAACTACAGAAATTGCGTTTCCTGCAAAAATGCCGTGTGAATGCTTATTGCAGAACATCTTGCTGAAAAACAGCTGAAATTAGCTAAAAAAAAAATCTGAAATGTAGCTTAAATGGAAGAACCAGCCTAAATTAGCAGAAGAAAGCAGAAAGAACAAATAGTTGCTAAATTAGGTTTAAATAAGCAGAAAAAAAATCAGCTAAAAATCAGCTGAAATTAGCAAAACAAGAGCTGAAAAGTAGCTGAAAAGGCAGAAAGAAGTGGAGAGAGCACATTTTTGCTGAATTAGGCTGAAAAATTTTGAAATTATTGCAAAAAATGTGGAATTGACTGAAAAAGCTAAAATGAGCATAAAACAGCTCAATAGTAGCTTAAATAACTGAAACTAGCTGAAAGGAGCATAAGCTGAAATTCGCAGAAATAATTTAATTAGGGTCAAAGAAGAAGAAATTAGCACAAAAAAATTGAATTTATTTGAAAACAGCTGAAATTAGTTAAAACAATGCTAAAAAGGTAGCTGAAAAAGTTAAAACAAGCTTAAATTAGCAGAAGATAGCAGAAAGAACACGTTTGTCCAATTAGACTGAAAGAAGCTGAGATGAGCCCAAAGAAATTGAAATTATCTGAAAAAAACTGAAATTAGTAACAACAACAACCCAAAAAACTGAAAAGTAGCAAAAAATGCAGAAAGAAGCTTAAATTACCAGAAGGAAGTGAAGAGAGCACATTTTTGCTGAATTAGACTGAAAAAAGTTTTAAAGTGTACAAAAAATGTGGAATTAGCTGAAAATGCTAAAATTAGCATAAAAACACGAAAATTGTAGCTTAAATAGCAGAAAATACTGAAACTTGCATAAATAAGCTGAAAGGAGCATAAGCTGAAATTAGCAGTAAGAAGCAGCACACAAATGTTGTAGTTAACTTGAAAGAAACTGAAATTTGCACAAAACAGCTGAAAGTAGCTGAAAAAAATGTTTACATTTGCACAAGGAAGCTGAAAGAAGCTGAACCAGAACAAAATGTGAAAGGAGCAGTAAGAGGTTGTAAACAGATCTAAAGAGTTGAAGGATGGAAAATGAGCCCAATTCATTTTCTAGGAGAATAAAAGTGGCAGAAAAGGCTAAATATTTCAAAAAGCTAAAGTTGCACCAATAGCAAAAGTCACAGCAGGATTGTCCTGAACGAGCTGAACGTTTTGATAAATTGTTGAATTAGCACAAAAATTGTGGAACGAGAAAGACGCTGAAAAACGTACAGAAGAAAAATGGATCAGAATAGAGTAAATGCTCCATAAACATTCACACAGTAAATAAATATTAAATGATTGACATAAAGTAAATGTAAACCCTCAGTTCTGAAAAATGATAAGAGTTACTTACACTTCAGAAAATCAGCTCTGGACTTTGGCTCTGGAGGAGGAGCGCTGTCCACCGTCATTTCTTTGCCTGTGCATGAAGTGGTACTGTGTTAGTCAAACTGAGCTGCACTGGAACGTTCAATTCTGCTGCTGGTTGACTGTGCAAAAGTCTTGAGCCACCCTTTGTTTCTTCATTTGCTTCCATAGTCAAACCTTTTGAAATCTTTTAAGTTGCTCTTCATCAATGGCTCTTTGTGCGTTCAATTTTTATTCATTTATATTTTAATTTGGCTGATTTTATTCACACATTTTCTGTCCAGTACTTAGCCTATTTCAGAGAAGTATTTTTTATCTATTACTTAAATCAAACCTATGAACCATTCCAGCATTAACAAAAACTCATAGACTCCAGGAGTGAATCAGTTTTTCCATCACACTTAATTGTAACGGTAACAAATCTGCATCTTTACATTGTTTTGAGCATTTTGCCACAAAAACAAAATAAAAAATGTTCAGATGTTTTAGCTGAATCAATAAGGAATACCAAAGATAACACTGTCTGACAGCCAAGAAATAGTGTTTTAACACCAACAAAGTCATTCTAAAAGAGCCGTAAATATGATAATCTAAAGGATGACACATCTTGTGTGTCAGGTTTTAATGTTTTTTCTTTGTTTTTAAAAGACACAACTTTCAAAAACTTTTATCTGCTGTAACAAAAATGTCTTTTAGGCTTTTTTTGTCCCTCGTGGTTGGGTGCATGGACTAGACTAGACAGGAAATGAATGATAAAACAGGCTAAGTTCAAAGAAAAACCTCAAACCTGCAGAAAGCTTGAAAAAAAAAATCTATTAAAATCACTTATGGACTGCAAGAAGGTCTGACAGCTTGGAAGCAGAGAAACAAAGACTTGAGGTTTAAATGTTTTGCACAGTACCGCATATGCACATGTGATGGAGCTAGATTAGTGTTTGTCCACTGAAGTTATGCAGGGGTGGTGTTGTGGTCCTACATAATAATTAACCCGACAGGACGTGGCGGTGCTCACCTCGGCTCCTCCTGTCCAGTGTTCTACTCTCTGTGGTGTAAACTGGGACCTCGTTCACTGCGTAGCAGAACACGTTCATGTTTAGTAAAGTGTTTTTTTGAGTGTAGAGGTGTGTTTCAACTGGTGAAATCAGACCTGTCTTGGAAATTTTAAGCAGCTCCTCCCTGCCGAACTCCTCGAGGCGTTCCTTGATCTCAGCCACAGCTTTCCTGACCGCCCCGAAGGAGAAGTCTGGGTTCACCGTCACCTTGGGGATGAAGCCGTCATCAGTGGGGGTGCAGAGGTAGTTGAAGTTCTGATGGGAAAAGGAAGGTGATGAAAGAAAACCCAACACGCAACGCTGACCAAACATACTTTGATTTAAAGACATGGTCCCAAGTCTTCCTTGGACATTTATCTGGGTCCAAACCAGAAATCTAAGACTTATTTTGGCAAAATATCCAGAACTTCTTTGAAAATTCATTTGTTGAGTTAGACGGCCCCCACCAGTTAAAGACAGCACTACAATGAGGCTGTGTCTTACCTGCAAGAAGTGGATGTGGTCTTCGGTGCTGTACAGCTGCTTGAGGCCGTTCTCCTTCTTCTTCAGTTCATCGATCTCTTGCTCCAGTCGCTCGATCAAAGTCTCGGCTTGGCTGAAAGCAGCTTTCTCGTTGATGCCAATCAGTTTGGTGACCTCTGACCTCATCCTCTCGATGGAGCGGATCATGTCCTCGAACATCTTCTGGCTCTCCACCATGGCTCTTTGGGCAGAGTTCTGTGCAGAACCGATGTCCACAGAAAGACGTTTACACAACTTTGGCACACACTTAAAATAAATCATTGGGGACTGCCTAGTGTGAGGCAGCACCTATTATTATCCACCTGACGTAGGGTTTCTTAACTTTATATCTTAACTCTTCCATTAACTTTAATGTGTCCCGAAACAAAATGTGTACCCCACAAATGTTATATCAAAACAACCGGGTCGGAGCCGTGATGTGTGCTATTACTTTTACTGGCTTTTTGAGTTACCATGGCGACAATTTGCAAACAAAGATGCCATTTTTCTCATTTGAAACTCCAGATGGAACTAAACAGCTTTTAACTGTAATAGCTCAATCATTCTTTGAGATATGGAGCTACTTGTTGTGGTGGTAGCTGAAAGCAATGTCCAGTAAATGCTGAATAAAAAAATTCAAGATGGCCACCAAAGCTACATTTAAATGACTTGAAATCAGCTATTTTTTTTTACACATGCAGAGCTGAAATTTGGTGTGGTTACATCTGAGAACGATCCCCATCACATACTGAACCCAAAACAAAAATCCAAGATGGCCACCTCAGCTAAAAGAGAACAAATATGGTAACTCAGCCATTTTTGGAGCTATTCAGCTGAAATTTGGTAGGGTAGTAGCTGACAGTGAACCCCAACACATAGTACTGTCAAATTTAAAAACGCCGGCAGTGGGGCAGTCCCCGTCAAAGTTTCTCCAGGAACTTTCTAGTTGGGGACTGCCATCGCAATGCATAGGAGAGCAGATGGCCGCCAATGCTACATTTAAATGGCTTTAACGCAGCCATTTTGACATATACACAGCTGAAAATTGGTGAGAACGGTCTCCATCACGTACTGAATCCATATTTAAAATCCAAGATGGCCGCCTTAGCTAAAACAAAAAAATTACCATATCTCGGCCAATTTTAGAGCTATTCAGCCGAAATTTGGTGTATTGGAAGCTGAGAATAATCTCCAATAGTCTCCGACTGAAAATCAAAAATCCAAGATGGCCGCCTTAGCGAAAAGAGAAAAAATACCATAACTCTGCCATTTTTAGAGCAATTCAGCTGAAAATTGGTGAAATTTAGCTGAGGACGATCCCTATCACAAACCGAATCAAAATAAAAAAATCAAAGATGGCCGACTTAACCAAAAAGGAAAAAATATGATAATTTTTAGAACTATTCTGCTGAAATTAGGTATACTGGTAGCCGAGCGTGAACCCCAACACATAGTACTGTCAAATCAAATTTCAATCAGCAGCAGTCTGGCATCCAGGAACTTTCTGGTTTGTGTTAATATTCAGTGAACAAGGGTCGCCTGGCAGCCATGACGGCCTTACCTTTAGTGAATCCACAGCAGTCTTGAGTTCCTCCAGCTCCTTCACCCTTTCCTGACATTTTTGTCTAATCTCAGCTTGAGAGACTCCCAACAGTTTCTGCAGAAAAAAGGAGTACCGGTATTACATCCACTGATTTAAGATGCCCCATACTGATAACCCAACTATCCTCCTTTAGTTTTTTCATGCTGAGTTGCAGTAAATGACATCAAATCACTGAGTCCGATTTAAATGATGCAAGTGGATGTTATGAGTTTTAATACAACAATATCTAAAACCTAATAGATTCTGGACCCAGACTGGTATACTTTTTTATACGACCGTATCTGGGGAGGCCCTTTGGCATATTGAATAAACCTCTATGAAGCTTTTAAAGTGGCTCACTTTCATCTCAGAGGGAAAAGGTAGTGGTGGTGGTGGGGGGTGAAAAAAAATCTGTAGAAGAATTTTGGCCCCGTCAGGAATGTGAAACTACCGTTGCCTGACTTTTAAATAGACGTTTCAAAGTGCACAGAGCGCCGAGGTGCAGGGCAGGAGGTTTCTCATTCAGCTTTTACTCAAACCCACCAACCCGTTTTTCAAGATAAGCTTGAGGAATGCAGGGAATCTAGGGAGGGGTGGGTTTTTGGGTGTGGGGTCATAGATTTTGTGAGAGGGGGAGGGGAGAGAGTGGGAGATGGAGTAAAGGAAGAGTCAGGTTGTAAAACTGCGTGAGAGAAACCAAACTCAGGATGCTGTAAATGTTGCATTCACTACGGCTCCGAGCCATCAGCCCATGAGTGAAACTGGAACATCTCACCCAGCAGTATCTGCTCACACTCTTATCTCCACATTGTTTTACAGGCTGTGTGACTCATGAGTCATCTGAATGTGCAGATATGAACCTTCACTCCCTGACATTCCTGGATCTCTGCAGACCCACTCCCACAGGTGGGGCGGCTGCAGTTTCTGTTTATTTATCCCACAGCTGGATCACCACATTCTCCTTGAAAGCTGGACCTTTCAGTGTGTAGGGGGGGGTGATAAGTGGAGGGCATGTCCCTCCCCGCTTCCTGGTAGCTAATCAGAGAGCTGGATTTGTTTTGGCAGCGCTGATTGCCTGCCAGGGAGCTGATAGTGCTGCTGAAATGGGTCAAAGTCCAACCAGGAGATGGGCGAACCACCTCACCTACTTTCTTTCACAGGAGTTTACTCAGAGATTATGTAAATTAAACAATCACCTCATGCAGCACACAGCTGACAGAGAACATGTGTGCTTTTATCAGTCATGTGTTTGTAGGGAAGGAGGACACCTCACCTGCTTCTCCCCCCTCTCAGCCTCGGCAGACACGATGTCATGGCCCCTGTGTTCACTGACGGTGCACAGGGCACAGATGCACATCTGGTCCGTCCGACAGAACAGCTCCAGGGACTTCTGGTGCTGCGGGCAGATCTTCCTGTCCAGGTTTCCCAGTTCGTCCACCAGCTTGTGCCTCTTGAACGTGGCCGACTCGTAATGCGGCCTCAGGTGCTTCTCGCAGTACGACGCCAGGCAGTTCAGGCACGACTTCACAGCTTTCAGCTTCTTCCCGGTGCAGAAGTCGCACGGGACGTCGCTCGGGCCGGCGTACACGTTCCCCTGGGATGACGTCAGGTTGATGTTCAGGCCGCTCTTCTTGATCTTCTCGGCCACCATGCTGAGCGTGGCGTTGGGTCGCAGCACGGGCCTCTGGGTGAACGTGATCTTGCACTGGGGGCAGATGTAAATCCCTGTGTAGTCCGCCTCGTTCCAGTAGCCGCTGATGCAGTCCATGCAGAAACTGTGGCCGCAGGGGATCGCCACAGGGTCCCTGAGGAGGTTCGTGCACAGGGAGCAGCTGAAGTAATCAGGAGACGTGTGATCAGCCATTGTGGTGAAATACAAACCCGGTCAGACCTGTGGAACTTTACAGAGAGACTGCCACGAGTGGGTAAAGACTTGGTCGAGTGCGTGTGAGCCCGCCCTCCGTGCTGTGGAGCGGGCTACCGGGGGGACAGGACTTTCTAGTATTTCTGAATTCCAGAGGTTATTGATTGAAAGCAGGCAAGGCCCCGCCCACTCAAGGCTCTGAGTGGGCGGGGCCCTACTCAGTTCAAACGAACAAGGCTCCGCCCGCTCGGAGCAATGAGTGGGCGGGGCCTTGCTCAGCTCAGACGAGCAAGTTGAGCAAGAAGACGAAAGGAGCGTCAGTGAGAATGAATGAAAAGTCCTGAAGATGATTAGAGGAACGGTGCAATTTTTTTATTCTGAGGGGAAAAAAAAGTCAGAATTCTGAGAAAAAAAATCAAAATTAGATAGATGGATTCTGACTTTTTTTTCTCATAATTCTGACTTTAATCTCAGAATTTTGACTTTTTTTCCTCTCAGAATTAAGAGGAAAATAATTTTTGCACCGTGGCCCTAATCCTCTTCCATAGCAACGTTTAAAAGATATGCCCCAACTTTTCACATGGAGGAAACCATTTCCTCTTCCCCTGCAGCTTCCTGTCTGCCTGAATTTCTCATGAGGCTCATCTGTGGCTGAAACGCACACACACTCCTCAGCAGCTGCATTTCCACCTATTGTTGTCAGACAGAATCACCATTGTCTTCCACCGGTTATAGTTGGACAAACATTAAAGTAGAAGTACTGTAGGAATTTCAGAGGACCACCCAATAAACAAACAGACACTGTGAGCTCAACTCAAATGACTTCTTCTGTTACATGTTTCAAAAATGTAACCTGCTGTGAAAATTCAGACTTATTTGCAGTGCGACCAGTCTGAGCGGTCTGGCCCTCTCTCCAAGCCTCTTTCTGTCTGATATGTGGAGAGTATCTGCTGAGCAGGGAAAAGCAAACAAAGACTGAGGCAGCCAACAGAAACGCAGGCCTGAATGCACGAAAACAACATTCCAGCAGGGTACAGGTGTGTTGCAAACAATTGTTTCAGCATTACTTTGCACGTTTCATTCAGGTTATGTTGCTTTTCTTTTTTTTTTTTTTGAGTGGGAAAAAAATTCCTCTCAGAACCGCAACACATTTTATTTAATGGAGTTAAATAAAAGTTAATAATAGTTAAATCCAGGTTTTTTTTTAACCTGGATTATTGAGCATGAACTTTGGTATTTAATGGAGAAATTTTCCAATACCTGACTTTAACATTGACATAATTAAATTAATCATCATTAAATTGTTAGAATGTCAATAAGTCTTCAACAGGGCTCTTATCTTATTCAGCTAAATTTCTCAGGGGGGCCACAGTTACTGGAAGCTAAGAGCTCAGGGGCCGAACATCCAGCAGTTATTGTCATTAAATAAGTTTGTTTTACAATTTAAAATCTTGTTTTATTTAAAAATTAACCCATTGGGTGGGCCAAAATGAGCACACCCGTGGGCCTGATTGGGCCCCCGGGCCACCAGTTGAATAACCCTGCACAGAGTAAACATTCAGTTAGAATAAACTGTACGAGATTGTTTTAACTGCATTAAATATTGGACTTAATGCAAAATGAAACAGTAAATTTAAAGTAAAAAAAAAAAAAAAGTACTCCGGTCCCGCCTTTAATTCATGTCTTTGCTGTACCTCATACACTTAGTAATTTCACTTCTCTCCATATTTGGTGGGGTTTCAGATAAGCCAGTCCTTCCTTCCTCGTGAGTAAATGGAGTGCTCCGTGCTACAGATTAACTTCCTCTTTGTGGAGAGACGCACTGAAAACACACAGAACACAGAATGAGGTGTTTTAGCAGAATCGTAAATGCTACAGCACATTAAGTACAAATGTGCACTCAATTTTAAGAAAACTGACATCATGCACATTAATGTCTTCATTATAAATATTTAAACAAGACACTGGAAATTTTTGATGTTTTAAAGGGTGCTAGTGCTGAAAACCTAACAACCCTTCTTCTCTAAAGCCTATTATTAATTAATTTGTTTTAATGATCTAAGCAGACAAAATGTCATCGGGTTGATGTCTGTATAAGAAGTGAAAAGAGAAGTTTAAAATAAATGGTAAAGTTTCAGTGACTCAATAGCTTCATCGTGCTACACACCTGTGAGCCAATTTTCATGTATTTCTACGTAAGACCATCATTTTCAACTGGTGGGTCACAACCCAAAGGATGGTCACCAGCCCAGTGTCAGTGGGTCTGAGGTCTTCACCTGGGAGAGAAATAAGGTTTAAAAAAAAATCACTGTTCTAAATGGTATGTCAACCTGGTTGACAGGTTGGTGAGTTCTGAAGCCAGACCAGTTGAGAACCACTGATTTAAAATATATGACAAGTTTTAAAACGAATCTTTAACTCCCAGTTTTGAGGAGAAAATTCTGAGATCAAATACAACGGAAGGACATGGGAGTTTGATGTGCAGACTGCTTGATGGAGAAAACCACAAGTCTTACAGCAATGAAACGTAGACCGGGTGAAAGAAGAAAAAAT